ATAAAACAGCGCTTCTCCATGCTCATCATTTTTCAGACAATCCTGGACAAAAGGTTGTGGACAACCCACAGAATTTGGCCTCGAAAGGCGTTTTCCCTAAATAATTATCCCCCCGCTCCCCCATGCCAATGTTGAATGGGATTTTTCATCAAATACGAAGTGTGGTTAAGTCGGATAAGCAACATTGAAGAGGGGGAGTGGGGGATATGCAAGTAAATTCAAGTTTTAGGTGTTTGTCATGATTTTTGCAAAAGTGGATTAAGTGTCCACATGAGTTTTGGCCAGGATTGTACATGTTCAACTCCACGAAGATGACAGAGACTGTACCCGATTCCTGTGGCTTTCCCAACCTGATGATCCCGAAAGCGTGTTTCAAGCCTACAGATTCAAAGTTGTGTTGTTTGGTGCTACATGCTCACCATTAATGCTCAGCTCAGCACTCGAATCCCACCTCGACCAATACAGTTCAAAGATTGCTACAGACATGAAAGAAAACCTATATGTTGATATTCTCATTTCCGGACAGCCCACAGAAAATGATGTCACCCACTATTACAAGTCGGCGCGATCCATTATGTCCTCTGGTAATTTCAACCTTCGAGCTTGGGCATCCAACAGTCCACAACTTCAGAGCATCTGTCTACAAGAAGGAACTGCTGATACTAAAACTACTGTTAATGTTCTCGGCCTCCAGTGGAATACGTTGACAGACACCTTGTCCCTCACCCCTAAACACAACTCCTCATCCCTCAACTTACCGACCAAAAGAGAAGTCTTCAGCAATTCCTCGAAGATCTATGACCCACAGGGCCTGTTATCTCCGGTTACTATTAGAGCTAAGTTACTCATGCAAGAATTGTGGCTACAAAATATCGAATGGGACGAACCACTTTCACAAGAACTGAGCGAGAAGTGGTTAAGCATAGCCGAAGATATCGACACTGTTTCAGGGACAATGAACTTTCCGAGATATGTTATCACAATCAATCCTAACTATACCAAGCCCGAGCTCCATGTCTTCTCGGATGCAAGTATAAAGGCCTATGGCGCCGTTGCTTATCTTCGTCACGGTCCGCAAATCGCAATTCTTGTGGCTAGAACACGTGTTGCACCCCTGAAGAAACTAACCCTACCTAGACTTGAGCTGATGGGTGCTGTCACCGCCGCACAGTTGGTCAGCTATGTCAAGAACGCACTTGCTACAACTACCATGTACAGTGAACTCACTGTGAGGCTTTGGACGGACAGTCAAACAGTCTTACATTGGTTGTCCAGCAACAACCGTCTAAGCCAGTTCATCATGAACCGTATTCAAACAATCAAAGATCTAGTTCCGAAGGCAACATGGGAATATTGTCCAACCAACGATAATCCGGCGGACCTACTTACGAGAGGCTTAAGTGCAACCCAACTTTGTTCTTCAGTCCTTTGGAAACAGGGTCCACCTTGGTTAACGTGCGAGTCCAAGTGGCCGACGTGGTCCTCAACCGACTTATCTCCTACTCTGACACTAGCAATTTCATCAGAAGAAATCAACCACAACGCACCCGAAAGAGACAGCATTCCCACGGAACATCGCCAACCCGAAATACACCGCATCATTGACATCGAGAAGTACAGCAAACCAAATCACCTACTACGAGTTACAGCCTACGTCCTGCGATTCATTGTTCTCCTAAGAAAAGACAAAAGTGACACTTCTGGACCCCTCACCGCGAAAGAATTGAACCCACACATTCCTGTCAAAGTACTACCTTCCCCGAGGAAATCGAGAACCTGTCTTCCAAAACATCCCGAAGATTATCACTCATACGACAACTGCGTCTTTTCCTCGACACCAACAATTTGCTTCGTTGTGGCGGGAGGATTCACAACACGCCATTAAGCACGTCAGCGAAGTTTCCATACCTCCTACCTAAGAACCATCCTTTCACAGATCTTGTCGTATACAACGCCCATGAAAACATACTCCACAGTGGTGTGAACTCCACAATGACCACATTACGTCAGACCTATTGGATCCCATCCATCCGCCAGTATGTGAGAAAATTGTTGAGACGGTGCGTAAATTGTCGTAAGGTCACTGGTACTGCGTATACACGCCCCGATCCACCTCCACTTCCCAAGTCGAGAACAACCGAGACAGAACCCTTTACGACAACCGGCGTTGACTTCACCGGAGCCCTTTACGTACGTGATAACAATGGCGAAACGAAGGTGTACATCTGCCTCTTCACATGTGCTGTAACCAGAGCTGTAACGGACCTATCCACCGAGTGTTTTCTGAACGCATTCAGGAGATTTGCAAGTCGCAAATCGTTGCCACAAAGGATGATCTCGGATAACGCATCAACTTACTTATCGGCTGCAGACGAACTTAGAGCTCTCTTCAATTCACAAGCACTGCACGACTCTCTCAGCAAACGAGGAGTAGAATGGCAATTCATTCCGAAAAGGGCGCCTTGGTTTGGAGGATTCTGGGAGCGCTTGATTGGTCTAACCAAAACCACCTTGAAGAAGATCCTTGGACGCGCATATATAAACCTAGAGGGTCTACAAACGATCATAGTCGAGATCGAAGCTGTCCTCAATGACCGCCCTATAACCTATGTCACATCCGAAGCCGACGATCCAGAACCCTTGACACCTTCCCACCTTCTCTACGGACGACGCGTCAGAAGATTATCTCGCCTAATCGTTGAAGAAGAGGAACTGCACGATCCCAATTTCGACGACGATTCCGAAGTTCGAGAAAGAGCCAGGAAACAATCGATAATAATACAATCCTTTTGGATGCGGTGGAGGCACGAGTATCTCACTTCACTTCGTACAAAACAACAGGGGCAAACGAACAGAAAGTCAAGCAAGGTGACGTTGTGTTAGTTCACGATGACGGTCCCAGAGCCAACTGGAGACTTGCCGTAATTGAGAACCTCGTTAGTGGAAACGATGGACGGATTCGATCTGCTGATATTCGTACTAGCACTGGTAGAACCAACCGATCTATTGCTCGTCACTACCCTCTCGAAGTTTCAACCAAACAGGTAGCAAACCCCATCCTATCATCAGAGAAACCACCACCAGCCTCGGAACCCCCACATCACCCGAGGAGAGAGGCTGCTGAAGAGGACGCGAACGAATTGCACGTTGGACACAGAAACTTTCCCTCCCCCCGGAGGATGTCGAGAATTATGCATAGTTTGTTAAAGGACACTATAGTTAATCTTATATGACTTTTAAGCGTAGTATTTGCTTGCGCATGCGCGTTAGTGCTCGCCAAATGAACACGTTTTAGATTCGTAACATTCATATAAAACGACCGTTTTGGACCATAGTTTTGGGACTTTATGTTAGTTATATCATGTATTAAGATGTCAAATATATTCATATAAACAATCCACAAATTTGCACTCTTTTTTCGCTTTCGCAGTGAGTAGAACGGACTTCTACTCGAAATTTTTTCTCGCGAAGCCAAATTTATCTTTACTGCGCATGCATGATTTCATTTCGTGCGAAATATTTCGCATTTCGCCAAGAAAAAGCGCCCGTGGAATCAAGCCTTAATAAAGCTGATTGCATAGAGCACCTTTATTGACTCAGCCTTGTTTTAATACTAGGTTGAAATGGCAGCCCTGTCTTTTTCTGAAATTCTTATTAAACAAAAAATTCCAGCCAAAGGGCTGAGTATAAAAAGGAGGTCAAAAATTAAAATCGAGCACCCGAGGCTGGCGAGGGCTAGTTTATTGAACAAATTCCAACGCTGTCAATAGTAAACAATCCCCAGGATTGAAAATGCTTCATGTAATAGGCACATACTAGAGTTATTATTAAAAGACCATAGATTTAGCCAAATTTGAATAAATGAACATTTAAACAATTTCAAAGCCCCAGGCCGAACCGTTCTCGAATAGACAATTCCCATTATACACTAATTTTAAAACTCGGGAAGGAGATGCAAATAAATTACCACAGCTAGAAAGAGCATACTAAAATTAGTAACATTGCAAAGCTTGGTTGCGAAATGTTGTAAAATGCGAAAAATATAACTTGCAAATTTTGTATCTTTTTGTATTGCGTGCGGAAGTTGCTGCCACATTTGGGCCGAGAAGGCGAAAATGTAGCAATTTCCGCACGCAATACAAAAGTATACAAAATTTGCGAACTTTGCAAGGCTATATGTTCCGCATTTTACATTATTTCGCAACCAAACTTTGCAATTTTACACATTTTAGTATGCTCTTTCTAGCTGTGATGATTTATTTGCATCTCCTTGCTTAGTTTTAAAATTAGTCTATAAAGGGAATTGTATTGTGTAAACATACGCAGGAAGTGGCTTTCTGTTCTTATTCCCCCAAATCTGAAATACCCAACGCGAACATCGACATGACATCGTTGCTATGCTACTAGTCTATAAAGTTTGTATCTTGTCCGAATTTTTGTCATCCAGAGGCCAGTTTAATATCTTCAAGAAAGTGACAAACATCGATTTAATACCCCTTCCGACAGCATGTTCGCTTTGAATTCTATTCTGCATGTGCTGACAATGTTGTAAAGGCAGTACGAAGTCGCAATATACCGCGTATCACACGAACACATAACGCGTATCACACAAACACATCACGTATTTGATTAACATGAACAAAAAAATTAGCATCTCAAATAGGAACTCCAGGAACAACCGCAATTTTAAAGCAAATTGAATCAATCAACTCAATAATTAATTAACTAAGGCAAATATCATAAAAAGAACATAGTGAAAAACTCTGATTTCTTTAAAAATAGGTACTTCCCTTACAAATTATAACACGATCAACGTCGCTGGTTCGTCCATCCAATACTTGATTAATACCAATATCACTTATACTCAATCTACAAATTCACAAGAATCCAATCAACTTCTCAGTCATACAGTGGTTACCATTGCCAGTCTCACCAAAGGGTCAAATTCTGTAAGGTCATCAAATCAACGCGTGGATCCCAATTATTCTACTCTTGAACCAATGAATACCATTACAGCATCTACTCAACATATAGTTTCCAGTATTCTTACTAATCAACAAATAAAGAATGTTAGTGCATCTATTCAAACCACGTCAACCTTTCCTACCACTATTCAATCAACGAACACCGTTACTGCTCCTGATCGACAGGTGCTTCATAGTCGTTCCACTACTAGAATATTGAATGCCGTTAGACCATCTCCTCACCCTGTGATTGCCAATAGTTCTGCTACCCAACTACTTGACACCGTCAATCCATCTACTCAACCTGACTTTCCCAGTCGTTCAACTATTCAACTACAGGACACTGTTAGCGCATCTAGTCAATCTGTGGTTCATAGTCTTTCCACTACTCCAATAATGAACACTGTGATTGTGGTTCCAAACCGTTCTACTCAACTGCTGGACGCTGTTACTGCATCTAGTCATTCTGTGGTTCCCAGTCGTTCTGCTACACAACTACTGGACAATTTGAGTGCATCTAGTCAATCTGTGGTTCCCAGCCGTTCTACTGCTCAACTACTGGATACTGTAAATACATCTAGTCAATTTGTGGTTCCCAGTCGTTCTACTACTCAAATACTGGAAACGGTGAGAGCATTTAGTCAATCTGCGGTTCCCAGTCATTCTACTACTCAACTACCCGAAACTGTGAGTGCATCTAGACAATCAGTGGTTGCCAGTCGTTCTACTACTCAACTACTAGAAACTGTTAGAGCATCTAGTCAAGCTGTGGTTTCCAGTCGTTCTACTACTCAACTACTGGAACCTGTGAGCGTATCTACTCAATCTGTGGTTCGCAGCCGTTCTACTACTCAACTACTCGAAACTATGAGTACATCTAGTCAAGCTGTGGATCCCAGTCATCCTGCTACTCAACTACTGGAAACTGCGAGCGCATCTACTCAATCTGTGGTTCCCAGCCGTTCTACTACTCAACTACTGGACACCTTGAGTGCATCTACTCAATCTGTAGTTCCCGGCCGTTCTACTACTCAACTACTGGAAACTGTGAGTGCATCTAGTCAATCTGTGGTTCCCAGTCATTCTACTTCTCAACTACTGGAAACTGTGAGTACATCTAGTCAAGCTGTTGTTCCCAGCCGTTCTAGTACTCAACTACTGGAAACTGTGAGTGCATCTAGTCAATCTGTAGCTCCCAGCCGTTCTACTACTCAACTACTGGACACTGTGAGTGCATCTAGTCAATCTGTAGTTCCTGGCCATTGTACTACTCAACTACTGGAAACTGTGAGTGCATCTAGTCAGTCTGTGGTTCCCAGTCGTTCTACTACCAAACTACTGGAAAGAGCGAGTACATCTAGTCAATCTGTGGTTCCCAGTTTTTCTACTACTCAACTACTGGAAACTGCGAGCGCATCTACTCAATCTGTGGTTTCCAGCCGTTCTACTACTCAACTATTGGACACTGTGAGTGCATCAACTCAATCTGTAGTTCCCGGCCGTTCTACTACTCAACTACTGGAAACTGTGAGTGCATTTAGTCTATCTGTGGTTCTCAGTCATCCTGCTACTCAACTACTGAAAACTGTGAGTGCATTTAGTCAATCTGCGGTTCCCAGTCGTTCTACTACTCAACTACTGGAAAGAGTGAGTACATCTAGTCAATCTCTGGTTCCCAGTTTTTCTACTACTCAACTACTGGAAACTGTGAGCGCATCTACTCAATCTGTGGTTCCCAGCCGTTCTACTACTCAGCTACTGGAAACTGTGAGTACATCTAGTCAAGCTGTGGTTCCCAGTCATCCTGCTACTCAACTACTGGAAACTGTGAGCGCATCTACTCAATCTGTGATTCCCAGGCGTTCTACTACTCAACTACTGGACACTGTGAGTGCATCTACTCAATCTGTAGTTCCCGGCCGTTCTACTACTCAACTACTGGAAACTGTGAGTGCATCTACTCAATCTGTGGTTCCCAGTCATTCTACTACCCAACTACTGGAAAGAGCGAGTACATCTAGTCAATCTGTGCTTCCCAGTCATTCTACTACTCAACTACTGGAAACTGTAAGCGCATCTGCCCAATCTGTGGTTCCCAGCCGTTCTACTACTCAACTACTGGAAACTGTGAGTGCATCTAGTCAATCTGTGGTTCCCAGTCGTTCTACTACCCAACTACTGGAAAGAGTGAGTACATCTAGTCAATCTGTGGTCCCCAGTCATTCTACTACTCAAGTACTGGAAACTGTGAGTACATCTAGTCAAGCTGTGGTTCCCAGTCATCCTGCTACTCAACTACTGGAAACTGTAAGCGCATCTACTCAAGCTGTGGTTCCCAGCCGTTCTACTACTCAACTACTGGACACTGTGAGTACACCTAGTCAATCTGTGGTTCCAAGTCATTCTACTACTCAACTACTAGAAACTGTGAGCGCATCTACTCAATATGTGGTTCCCAGCCGTTCTACTACGCAACTACTGTACTCGGTCAGTGAACCTAGTCAATCTGTAGTTCCCAGCCGTTCTACTACTCAACTACTGGACACTGTGAGTGTATCTACTCAATCTGTAGTTCCCGGCCGTCCTACTAGCCAACTACTGGAAACTGTGAGTGCATCTAGTCAATCTGTGGTTCGCAGTCGTTCTACTACCAAACTACTGGAAAGAGTGAGTACATCTACTCAATCTGTGGTTCCCAGTCATTCTACTACTCAACTACTGGAAACTGTGAGCGTATCTACTCAATCAGTGGTTCCCAGCCGTTCTACTACTCAACTACTGGAAACTGTGAGTGCATTTAGTCAATCTGCGGTTCCCAGTCGTTCTACTACTCAACTACTGGAAACTGTGAGTACATCTAGCCAATCTCTGGTTCCCAGTCTTTCTACTACTCAACTACTGGAAACTGTGAGCGCATCTCCTCAATCTGTGGATCTCAGCCGTTCTACTTCTCAACTACTGGACATTGTGAGTGCATCTACTCAATCTGTAGTTCCCGGCCGTTCTACTACTCAACTACTGGACACTGTTAGTGCATCTACTCAATCTGTAGTTCCCGGCCGTTCTACGACTGAACTACTGGAAACTGTGAGTGCATTTAGTCAATCTGTGGTTCCCAGTCATTCTACTACTGAACTACCGGAACCTGTGAGCGTATCTACTCAATCTGTGGTTCTCAGCCGTTCTACTACTCAAATACTGGAAACTGTGAGTACATCTAGTCAAGCTGTGGTTCCCAGTCATCCTGCTACTCAACTGCTGGAAACTGTGAACGCATCTACTCAATCTGTGGTTCCTAGCCGTTCTACTACTCAACTACCGGAAACTGTGAGTGCATCTAGTCAATTTGTTGTTCCCAGTCGTTCTACTACCCAACTACTGGAAAGAGTGAGTACATCTAGTCATTCTGTGGTTCCCAATCATTCTACTACTCAACTACCGGAACTTGTGAGCGTATCTACTCCTTCTGTGCTTCCCAGCCGTTCTACTACTCAACTACTGGAAACTGTGAGTACATCTAGTCAAGCTGTGGTTCCCAGTCATCCTACTACTCAAATACTGGACACTGTGAGTGCATCTACTCAATCTGTAGTTCCCGGCCGTTCTACTACTCAACTACTGGAAACTGTGAGTGTATCTAGTCAATCTGTGGTTCCCAGTCGTTCTACTACCCAACTACTGGAACGAGTGAGTATATCTAGTCAACCTGTGGTTCCCAGTCATTCTACTACTCAACTACTGGAAACTGTGAGCGCATCTACTCAATCTGTTGTTCCCAGTCGTTCTACTACTCAACTTCTGGAAACTGTGAGTACATCTAGTCAAGCTGTGGTTCCCAGTCATCCTGCTACTCAACTACTGGAAACTGTGAGTACATCTAGTCAATCTGTGGTTCCCAGTCTTTCTACTACTCAAGTACTGGAAACTGCGAGCGCATCTACTCAATCTGCGGTTCCCACCCGTTCTACTACTCAACTATTGGACACTGTGAGTGCATCTACTCAATCTCTAGTTCCCGGCCGTTCTACTACTCAACGACTGGAAACTGTGAGTGCATTTAGTCAATCTGCGGTTCCCAGTTGTTCTACTACTCAACTAGTGGAAACTGTGAGTACATCTAGTCAATCTGTGGTTCCCAGTCATTCTACTACTCCACTACTGGAAACTGTGAGCGCATTTAGTCAATCTGTAGTTGGCAGCCGTTCGACTACTCAACTACTGGAAACTGATAGCGCATCTACTCAATCTGTGGTTCCCAGCCGTTCTACTACTCAACTACTGGACACTGTGAGTACACCTATTCAATCTGTGGTTCCAAGTCATTCTACCACTCAACTACTGGAAACTGTGAGCGCATCTACTCAATCTGTGGTTCCCAGCCGTTCTACTACGCAACTACTGGACTCGGTGAGTGCACCTAATGAATCTGTATTTCCCAGCCGTTCTTCTACTCAACTACTGGACACTGTGAGTGTATCTGTTCAATCTGTAGTTCCCGGCCGTCCTACTATCCAACTACTGGAAACTGTGAGTGCATCTAGTCAATCTGTGGTTCCCAGTCGTTCTACTATCCAACTACTGGAAAGAGTGAGTACATCTACTCAATCTGTGGTTCCCAGTCATTCTACTACTCAACTACTGGAAACTGTGAGCGTATCTACTCAATCTGTGGTTCCCGGCCGTTCTACTACTCAACTACTGGAAACTGTGAGTGCATTTAGTCAATCTGCGGTTCCCGGTCGTTCTACTACTCAACTACTGGAAACTGTGAGTGCATCTAGTCAATCTGTGGTTCCCAGTCGTTCTACTACCCAACTACTGGAAAGAGTGAGTATATCTAGTCAATCTGTGGTTCCCAGTCATTCTACTACTCAACTACTGGAAACTGTGAGCGCATCTACTCAATCTGTTGTTCCCAGCCGTTCTACTACTCAACTTCTGGAAACTGTGAGTACATCTAGTCAAGCTGTGGTTCCCAGTCATCCTGCTACTCAACTACTGGAAACTGTGAGTACATCTAGTCAATCTGTGGTTCGCAGTCATTCTAGTACTGAACTACTGGAAACTCTGAGCCCATCTTCTCAATCTGTGGTTCCCACCCGTTCTACTACTCAACTGCTGGACACTGTGAGTGTATCTAGTCAATCTGTAGTTCCCGGCCGTTCTACTAGTCAAGTTCTGGAAAGTCCGTCTAGTCAATCTGTAGTTTCCGGTCGTTCTACTACTCAACTACAGGAAACTTTGAGTCCATCTACTCAACCTGTGGTTCCCAGTCGTTCTACGACTCAACTACTGGAAACTATGAGTGCGTCTAGGCAATCTGCGTTTGGCAGTAGTTCTGCTACTCAACTACTGGAAACTGTGAGTGCATCTAGTGAACCTGTGGCTCCCAATCGTTCTACTACCGAACTACTTGAAACTGTGAGCGTATCTAGTCAATCTGTGGTTCCCAGCCGTTCTACTGCTCAACTACTCGACACTGTGAGTGCATCTAGTCAATCTGTAGTTCCCAGTCGTTCTACTACTCAACTACTGGAAACTATGAGTGCATTTATTCAATCTGTGGTTCCGAGCCGTTCTACTGCTCAACTACTGGACACATTGAGTACGTCTAGTCAATCTGTGGTTCCCAGCCGTTCTGCTAGTCAACTATTGGAAACTATGAGTGCGTTTAGTCAATCTGTGGTTCTCAGCCATTCTACTACTCAACTACAGGAAACTGTGAGTCCATGTAGTCAATCTATGGTTCCCAGTCATTCTACTACTCAACTACTGGAAGCTGTGAGTGCATATAGTAAATCTGTGTTTACCAGTCATTCTACTACTCCACTACACGAAACTGTGAGTGCATCAAGTCAATATGTGGTTCCCAGTCATTCTACTACCCAACTACTGGAAAGTGTGAGTGCATCTAGTCAATCTTTAGTTACCAGTCATTCTACTAATCAACTAATGGAAACTGTGAGTGAATCTAGTCAATCTGTGGTTCCCAGACGTTCTACTACTCAAGTACTGGAATCTGTAAGTGCATCTAGTCAATCTGTTGTTCCCAGTCGGTCTGCTACTCAATTACAGGACACTGTGATCGTATCTTGTCAATCTGTGGTTCCCAGTTGTTCTACTACTCAACTACTGAACACTGTGAGTTCATCTAGTCAATCTGTTGTTGCCAGTCGTTCTTCTATTCCACTACTGAACACAGTTGGGGCGTCCACGCAATCTGTGGATCTCATTCGTTCTATTACTCAAATATTGAACACGGTTACTGCATTTAGTCAATCTGTGGTTCGAGGTCATTCTATTACTCAACTACTGAACACTATTAACGCATCTAGGAAAAATGTGGTTCGCAGTCGTTCTATTACTCAACTACAAAACACAGCTAGTGCTTTTAGTCCATCTGTGATTCCCAATCGTTCTACTGGTCAACCTATAAGCTCCAATACTGCCCCCACACAAAGAACAAAGGAAGCTTTAACTATTGAAATTTCCCTAACCTTCGTCAACAGAAAATTTCACGAAGATCTTTTTAATAAACAAAGCTTGATATTCTTGGAAATGAAGCAAGAAGTAGAGTTGAAAATCAAAATTGCTTATAGCAATACTAAGGGTTTTGTATCGGTAACTATTTCTGGGTTTCGCCCTGGCAGTATTGTTTCTGAAGGACGTCTGTATTTTGCAAACTCATCAAACAAAGATGTTTCTCGATTGGAAAAGATTCTTTCTGATTATGGAAATGCTAGTGGTGAATTTGATGTTTCCGGATTTGAAGAAGCAGCCGGTGATGGGGATGATGATGATGATGATGATGATGTAATACTTGGACTAAATTGGTGGCAGATTAGTGTAATTATCGCAGGAGTGGTGGTATCTATCCTCTTGGTAACTGTTGTCGTATTGTGTGTAAGTATTTATATAATAAATTTTCCCTGTTTGAAGGCTTGTTTACACAGGCGACTATACTATCATTGTTCACTGCTGAGGCATGCTATTCTCTAAATATCTTGCCGCCAAAGTGCATTATCAAATGATGGCATGGCTATCCAAAAGGCAATACTCACATGAGCACTGTAACTACTCTTAATTGGATACGTTAGAGGTTGATGAATACGCCCTAATATCGCCATGTGTAAACAACTGCGGCTGTTGTGAATATAGTATAATTTGGTTTCTCGACAACTGGTTTCGCATTACATTACAATTCAAATTTTCAAATGTAAATATCTTGGCGAGTATTTACCCCCCCCCCCCCCCCTCCCTTGAAACAAAAGCCACCAATGAAATCCTCACAAAATAACCTTTCGAATGGGGGGTCAAGTGCCGTCAAAACATTAGACAAAGGGAACATATATTTATACTCACCGCTTGGCCAAACATTCTGTATTTCATAGCGAGCAAAAGTTGAATATCTTCTAAACTTTTCGTCATTTTCTCAAAGACTATAGGAGAAAATACTCTTTGTAATCAAGCGCTTTCTTGTAGGAAGTTTCGTTTGAATACGGCAAGTAGAAATATTTATTTTGAATTTTTCAACTTTCAAGATATCGGGTTTTGACTCGCACGCGTTTGTATTACGCAATATTTGGTCAATAAGGAGCTGCTTTAGACGTGGTGCATTTTGATCTGTAGAATCTATTTCTGGCATTTGTAGAGTCGTACGATACAAACGTCGCATTGTTTTGACGATTTTTAGTCGTATTTTCGGTTGGGATTATTGCAAATTCGAACCAGATATGTAAAATTTGGCACTAAAGGTCACACTTTAAAGATAGAAGCTTGAAAATAATACTATACATGGTATTTTAAATGCTTAATTCATCAAGAATATCAAAATGAGGATACGTCTCAAGGGGCCGAAGTTATGTTCGGCGAAAGGTATGTTTATAATTTTTAAAAATTTTATTTTTATTTTATTCGCACAAACTACATTAATATTTTTTACAAAATAAATCATAATATAGAAACTATTTAGATAGGGCTAGGAACCTTCTAGAAACCATAAAGCTTTTATTTAAGGTCCCTAGTTACAGCTTTAGATTAGATTAAAATAGGTACGTTTTAATAACAAAGGATACAAGTTCGAACGTTTTCAGAGAATTATTATTATTATTATTTTAGTTTCGTTTATTCAAATCAATGAAGCTTTATTAAAAAATACATAAATAGGTAACATGGTGTCCTTTCAGGCCAAAAAAAAAAATATGTGGGTTTCCGGTTTCTTCTTATAAAAACTTAGGTAGGGTAGGTCGGTTTTAACTTTTTTTTTTAAACTTTTTTTTTAATTTTCCGAACAAGCGGACGCCATTTTGTTTAGTCAGTGCTTCCACATCCAAAGATAAATTTCCCTAATATTGCCTCAAATTTCAATTTTCCACAAACTTTTTCCTCTAAGTGGAAACACTTACAAGCATGATCCAATAAAAAAGTTTAGGGTCGGGATTTCGACGTCCAAAAGCTAGGTAGGGTCGGGAAACCGGAAACCCACATATATTTTTTTTTGGCCTCACTAAAGTGCTCTTCCAAGGAGCCATGTAAAAATACAAAAACAAAAGAAATTAGCTAAATATATATACAATCCTATCATATTTACAACTACTTAATCTTAGTATTAAATTTGAAAGTTAGAAAGCTTATTTTTGAAAAGATATATTGAAACCTGACTTCTTATTTCATCCGGAAGATCGTTCCATAACGCAGCCCCACGGTAGCCGAAGCTCCTTTTACCAGCCTCCGTTCTGGGTCTAGGGGTGAACATACTGTGCGAACTACCTCTAAGATTGTGAGAGTGGACTTGCGAGGTAGGTTCAAAAATAGTATTAAGCTCTTTGGGATATAAATTATTCACTGCTTTATAAATACTTGTTACGAGCTGTTTAGCACGACGTTGGTCAAGAGTTTCCCAACCAAGACTGTGTAGTATATCAGCTGATCTTACGTCATAATCGGAGAAGGTTATTATCCTACCGGCTCTGTTTTGCAGTTTTTGGAGTTTTTCAGAGAGGGTTTTACCTAGGCAGGCCCAAACCTCACTACAATAGTCTGAGTAAGGTAACACTAAGGCTTTATACATCAGGATCAATGTGTTTTGGGGTACAAAAGTTCGAATCCTCTTTAACGCCCCAAGGCTTGCACTTATCTTCTTACAAATATTCATCATTTAAAGATTCATCAATTTCAAGGCTCAAGTATCTATAAGAATACATTCTTTCTATAGACTGTCCATTAATTTGAATGTTAAAGCGATAATTCAGATTACTTAATCTCGCTTGGCTTCCTAGGATTAAGAATTGTGTCTTCTTTACATTCAGAGTAAGCTTATTAGCCCTTAGCCACGTTTGCACTTTTCTAAGTTCGTTATTTAGTTTAAGCTCTAGGTCTTTTGGATCGTTAGAACTAACAGTTAAACATGTATCATCAGCATACATCATAAGGGACGATGTAGGCTTGAAGATCATTAATATAAATTAGAAACAATAAGGGCCCAAGCACCGATCCCTGAGGAACCCCACAAGTAACAGGTAGCAAGCTAGACAATGTGCCATTAATGCTTGTGCATTGTTTGCGACCTGTTAGATATGATCTAAACCAATTGATAGAATTAGGATCTACGCCATACATCTCAAGCTTCTTTAATAAAATTGGATGGTTCACGGTATCAAAGGCTTTTTTAAGTCTAGTAATAGAATTCCATTAAATAGCCCTTTATCAATATTTTGGTACCAATTGTTGGTAGATATTAGAAGAGTCGTAAGTGTTGAATGTAATGGTCTAAATCCATGTTGGGAACTAGACAATAGATTATTATCGATTAGGTATCCATAAAACTGAGAGAAAACGATCTTTTCAATTATTTTACTGACAATCGGTAAGATAGATATTGGTCTATAATTATCAGGATCTGATTTTGTGTCTTCTTTATATATTGGCATTACCCTAGCTCTTTTCCAATCATTGGGAAATACCCCATTTCTTATGGATAAGTTTATTATATGGGTTAAGGATGAAAAAACAATTGGCGAAGCTTCTTTTAATAGCTTGCATGATATCTCATCTAAACCAGTAGATTTATTTACAGGAAGTGATTGGATCAAGTTGTACACAATTGTATTATTTGTCTCAGTGATAGAAAAATTATTATCGGTGGTGGTAATATATTGCTCAAAGTTAGAGTTTGAGGTGGGAACATTATTAACTAATTTAGGTCCAATTTGAGTAAAGTAGTTATTAAAAGCATTACTTATGTCACTTGAAGAAGTGTAGTTACAGTCATCAACTTTAATGCTGCTTATTACATTGGTATGGGAATTTTTACCCATAAGCTCATTCACACCTTTCCATGTGTTTTTAATATCACCAAAGCTATTTCTAAAGTAATTGTGATAATATGCAACTTTGGCATCTTGTATACATCTGTTAACATTATTTCGTGCACTTCTATACTTGGACCAGTTATGTTCAGTATCATGTTTACTTGCTATTCTTTTCAGTCGGTCCCTCTCACACATCAATTTCTTAAGTTCTGGGGTTAACCAAGGAGAGTGCTTATTTCGAATTTTTCTACTCCGTTTGGGTGCATGAATATCAGATATTTTCAGGAATATAGTTTTCCAAGCATCCCAAGCAAGATTTGCATCATTTTCATACTCCTCAATGATATGCCACGGGGCTAAGCTGAGATCATATCTAAATGAATTTGCGTTGAAATCTCTAAATTGCCTGCTGCGAATTATTCTAGAATCCTTTCTAGATACACAAAGTTTACGAATTGCATATACAAGTGAATGGTCACTAATACCAATGTGGCAAACTCCAGATTTCACATACATTGTTGGATTATTAGTAATAAATAAATCAATTGTAGTTGAAGAGCGTTCGGTTATTCGAGTAGGCTCTTTAATAAGTTGATGGTACTGGTATAAGTTGCAGAGATCCAAGAAATGCTTAGTAGGTGCATTAGGGGGAGAAGCACCTACATCAAAGTTAAAATCACCTATAATATTAATTTCAATATCCAGTGCTTCTAACTTCCTCTGTATATATATATATATATATATATATATATATATATATATATATATATATATATATATATATATATATATATATATATAAAGTAATTGTGATAATATGCAACTTTGGCATCTTGTGTATACATCTGTTAACATTATTTCGTGCACTTCTATACTTGGACCAGTTATGTTCAGTATCATGTTTACTTGCTATTCTTTTCAGTCGGTCCCTCTCACACATCAATTTCTTAAGTTCTGGGGTTAACCAAGGAGAGTGCTTATTTCGAATTTTTCTACTCCGTTTGGGTGCATGAATATCAGATATTTTCAGGAATATAGTTTTCCAAGCATCCCAAGCAAGATTTGGATCATTTTCATACTCCTCAATGATATGCCACGGGGCTAAGCTGAGATCATATCTAAATGAATTTGCGTTGAAATCTCTAAATTGCCTGCTGCGAATTATTCTAGGATTCTTTCTAGATACACAAAGTTTACGAATTGCATATACAAGTGAATGGTCACTAATACCAACGTGGCAAACTCCAGATTTCACATACATTGTTGGATTATTAGTAATAAATAAATCAATTGTAGTTGAAGAGCGTTCGGTTATTCGAGTAGGCTCTTTAATAAGTTGATGGTACTGGTATAAGTTGCAGAGATCCAAGAAATGCTTAGTAGGTGCATTAGGGGGAGAAGCACCTACATCAAAGTTAAAATCACCTATAATATTAATTTCAATATCCAGTGCTTCTAACTTCCTCTGTATATATATATATATATATATATATATATATATATATATATATATATATATATATATATATATATATATATATATGTATGTATATATATATATATATATATATATATATATATACACTGGATCCAGAAAAGTTTGACCTTCGAATATATATATATGTCGGCCATTTTGACTTTTCTTGGGTTAATTATACGCGAACGCATACATCAAATGTCGCTCGCAACGTATTGTATATTGCAATATTATTCCAACAGCTCAAATGAATAAAAGAATCATTGATTGATGTCTTTGCACATAATCATAATGGCTAGTAGGAAATGAACATTTGGAAATAAACATAATGGCTAGTAGGAAATGAACGTTTCTGCTTCGCCAGGTCACGAATGCTACGCGTGCTGAGTTTCAGGAGATGAAATATCGAATGACTATCGATTCCGTTAAAATTTCCGTTGGCAAAATATACTAATTCTGGACGTAGGTTACAGCTATAAAATAAGCACAAGTGAATACGAAAGAATAAACAAAGAAATTCATCGAGGCATGCTAATAAGCGTCTAAATCTCTAAGAATGCAAAAGGATAAATTACGACATGCCAAAAAGATCAGGTTCCAAATTGTGACAAGAGTTAATTAGCTAACATGTTTAATTTCGCTAATGTATGATACCGTTAATATAATACATATAACTAATGCTATAGTTAGACAGGAAAGAATAATTTGTATTTTATTTGATTTTAGTGCATTACTACAACTTAATTATGCAGGAAGTGAATTATTAAGGAAGTTTTGTATTTACCATTTGTTTTCTTGGATAATCATATACGAATTCCGTAACAGACCACTTCTATCACACCATTTAAAAAACCATGCATGCAAACATAGTTTGTGTTTAATTCATTGACACCCTCAAAGCTCGTCCCTTTTTGTGCTATGTTTGTTATTAGGGTTTCCTGCCAGGTAGATTTGCACATTTGTCTACACCGAAAAGAATTGAAGTGCTTGCAAAAGATAAAACAACGAAATTAATATTTCGAGCGACCAAAGCATGTAATTAAAAACAAGACGAACAAAATAATATTCAACAGGGAACTATAAGGCTTTGTCTTATTAAACCTGCTTGGAAGAAAGCTTTGCTGTGTTTGCACTAATTGTGTCCAACCTAGGCTTAAAAGATTTGAAAACATGAGAAACAATTATCGGGACATCAAAGTAAAAAATGTTATAATATGCGCAGAAAAAAAAGCATTTACTCTCGTTTTGTTTTTTAAAATCTCGCGATTGTTTTGCATTTTTCATTATATTCAAATAAGATGTAATATATCAAGTACGACAATGAGGACTTTACCGGATTCCAAGGCGAAGCCCAGGACTGAACTAATTGCAAGGATCACATTTCCAGTTGCTGTCACACTAGTAATTTCTTTTGTCTTTGGTTCTTTGGTAAGTACGACGGATTTTCAAACTGCAGACGCAGAAACAAATCTATTACTTATAGTTGTGTTATGGAGACCTTTGGCATTTATGTGAGATTAATCAAAGATAAAAAGAATAAAAGAAAATTCGAAACGCGATTTTTTGAGCATTTCTCAAAACCTAAATCTCTGACCGAGTTAAAAGAACAGTTCGTTTCGTTATTTGGAAATGAATTTCACGGCGGCTGCTCACATGGAATAGATGTTGGCTATATTGGATATAGCAACAAAAAAGTCAAGATCACATCGGATGATGATGTGGCAAAAGCTTTTCAGACTGGGCTGGGGCATCCAGTTAAGCATCCAGTTTTTTTCATGGTTGAGACAGAACAAGAATCTGACCCAGAACTTCGAACACAAGGTATAGGTGGATAATACAATGGGTCTTCTGTTAGTGAATTGCATATGCATTGTATCTGATTTATCAAACCAACGTCATATTTCTATTTTTCAGTTGCACAGTCACTTTCTCAATCGGCTCAACCACCCAAGAAAAGAAAAACATCCGTAACTCAAGAACGAGAGGAAAGGAAAATCGCTGCGGCAAAAAAGCTTCAAGATATTAACAAAGACAAGTGGACCGTTGGGGAATATAGATTATGGGCGGAAGCTATTGTAGGTGCTTTCTGTTGTTAAATTTTATTTACAACAAGAACTGTAATTTTGTGATTATTTCTGAAGTCTGCTTGTATGAGAGACGGAGGGTTTTGCCCAAATACTTAGCTCTATGTTTAGCGATCGTACGTATGTATAACAGGCATGCATTGTATGCCTGAAAATTTTAAAAATTGTCTTGATATATGGCCATTGTTTAGGTAAGAGGTATTCACGACAGCTACATATCTCCGCCGAACTACCCAATTTTCAACGAAAATAAACGTCAAAAGAAAGCAAGTAATGGAGTGAGAGAACTCACAAGTGCTTTGACTGAAGCAGTCAAAACATTTGTAGAAGAAACGAAAGCTGCCAACAATGCATCTCTTCCTAACAGTGAAACGACATCTGAGGTATATACACGAACCATGAAGCATATTTGTGAATCATCCTTCTGTGTAAATCTTAAGAGTCAAAATAAAAGGTATTTGTATTTGTACTTAAAATACTCATTAACAATTCATGACGAAAATTCAAAAGAAATGAATGTTTAATCAATATCTGTAAATCGGTACAGATTTCGCCTTGATTTACATAAACTTTAGCTTCAAATTTCTCGGCTAAAACGAACCATATCGGCAAAATACATGTAGTTGGTAAACTTGATTACTTAGATGCATTCGTATTTTAAGTACAATAAAGCATTCGCATCCGATCTGTATCTGATTTAGTGCAGCTCGTCTGTGACTCGCCTTGTAAATCAGATGCAGATCGGCTGCTCATGCTTTATCTAGTACTTGTGACTCATCCTTAGTTTCTAATTCTTTCTGTTTAAGAGTCAAAATGAAAGAACACTGCTGTTGAATCAATTAAAAACTCTTGGTGAGCTAAAGAAAGATGGCATTCTTGGTGAGGACGAGTTCAACGAGCAAAAGCAAGTTATTGTAAGAGATTTAACGGACCTCAGTTGATGCTGTGTATTTGGATGAGTGTTGGTTTGAAGTTCTTCAACTGTCGGAATGAAATAATTTATCGTGGTCTTTTTAATAAATGTTGGTGTGCAATTTATGATATAAAAAAGCAGAAAAAAATAAAAACAGACAACATTGAGTATATATAGTTTTTATTCCAAAGTCAATATCCACAATGGTGATACAAAGCTTGCACGTCACTTTGCAGGACTTGTAGGAAAGACTGAAAAACAAACGTCTCTGCATCATCAGTTGTGAGAAAGATCCCATCATTTGCCCGAATGAATTGTTTCACAATGGAAAATACACCCTCAATTGGGTTGAGCTCCGGACTATAAGGTGGAAGGAACAGTAATATAGCTCCCGTATCTTCAATTATATCCCTTACTTCAACGACATGATGAACAGCGTGGTTGTCTATAGAAAATAGTTTAAAAAACGATTTAAACAGATTACGTACATGAACCATTTACTTTTGATCCAACACAACCTGGTCACTAAAGATAACTGACAGCACGTTTTAGGCATGTTTCACCAACAATGTTCATATTTTAAAACAACAAAAGAACTTACAATACCTCTTAGTATTATTTTGAACAGTTCGTTTGAATACAATTAAACGCTGTTTTACATTTGTTCACTAGCCGTGTCGGTTAAAAATTTCGACGCAATGGCAACTAAAAAACATACTAATTTCAAGTACTTTATGCAATAAACAGCGGGAGATTTTTTATGGGGACTCTTCAAAAGAAACATGTCCGTCTTCCGTAGAACGCACTGTAGATTACCCTTACGATATAGCTTGGTACACAATATCCACATAAAATACTAGTTTCATATACGCATATATAATGTTTTATAAATCACTAATACATTTAAGTAAACGCTTACCCATTACGACAACTGATGTTGCATTTAAGCCATTATATGGCCGAAGCAATGGTGTAATGTTGGTGCGCAAAAAATCCAAAAATCCAACAGCCTCAAAATTTTCAGCGCTGGCGTTTGCAGCTATGAGACCATTGTAGGAAATCGCTGCTGTTACACTAATTCGTGGTCCATGAGGAGACACATATGAACCAGATGCTGTATCACCAACAACGCTGTATCCGTAATTTCTGGTGATTCGTCTGTCCTATACAAAAAGGATTGCCAAACATGACATTTAAGATGTATGACGTCCAAATCATAGGCGAATAACAAACTATTATTGCAATGAGCACATACACAGAACGTTTCGTCAATAAAAATCAATTCCTCGGCTCTAAAAACTCCAACTTCAATTTTGTATTCTCTTACAAGCTCTACACGCTTCCTAAGGGCCACTTTTTTTACCTAAACAAAATTGTTGAAATGGTAAATATAACAGCACGCATTTTAATTAATTTCTAAAATCCTAATTTTTCTTACCCTCTTTCTTGAGTATCCAAATCTTTTTAAGAGGTATTGCATACTTTGAATTGATGGCAATGTTCCTGTGACTTCAAAGAGATGTTGGCTCATTTCTTTCAAATAGGTCGTCTCTTTACTCAAGATATATTCAAAAAGGATTAGCATTTGTGGTCTTGTTAACAACAAGCTTATAGGAGGCCGACCCATCCTCATCGTTGAAACGGAGCCAGTAAGGTTGTACTTTGTTATAATTCGTTTCACCGTTGAAAGTGAAACATGAAACATTCTCGCAATTTCAACTAGATTCATGTTATGTTGTATACGTTGGATGACAATCAACCAGCGTAAATCATCACTGTATACCATAGTTGTAAAAAACAGAGTGCTTCAAAAGACAAGTTATGTTGTTATCTGTTGCATTGATTATATTAAACATTTAAATAGTCTATCTTCCTAAAACATAATTAAAGCCTGGTTCACATGTGTAACAATATATAAGCGAGAAAACAAAGCAAAAATCCTCTCTCGGGGTTTAGGACGACAGAGTTGAAGGAATTCCCTTTCGAATTTGCTTGGACTCTGTCCTGTGCATAACAGGTCTTTTCAAGAAAAGAACACCTTTAAAAGTTCACATTTTCAGTTAAGCACAAGATTTTATGTTCCTGCGAATTTGAATAGTTTCTACTCGTATGAAGGAGCAGTAATTTAGCATAAAACTTTTCATTATTCAATTTATTCCGTTCTGTTTTTACACCCGTTTAGCATTGAAATTCCACAGTAGCTTGATTTATAAAGGTCTGTATTTCTAAACACCCTGTAGATGCTTATTAAAATGCCTCAATGCATTTTTTGTTCATTCTTTTGTCTTCTTACATATCTCCATAATTGTAGTCATGCTATGTGTAAGAACTTCAATCAATGATTCTTTTATTCATTTGAGCTGTTGGAATATTGCAATATACAATACGTTGCGAGCGACATTTGATGTATGCGTTCGCGTATAATTAACCCAAGAAGATTCAAAATGGCCGACATATATATATATTCGAAGGTCAAACGTTTCTGGATCCAGTGTATATATATATATATATATATATATATATATATATATATATATATATATATATATATATATATATATATATATATATATATATATATATATACCCTATATATATATATATATATATATATATATATATATATATATATATATATATATATATATATATATATATATATATATATATGAAACGAGGAAACTGTTCGTTTTAATTTTACTTTGAGTGAAGAGTTCTATTATTATTTTTATCAAGATGAAGAAAATATTTTTTGATTGTCGATTTGAATATTGGAAAAGATCTAATTTCTTTATATTGCGAAGGAAGATTATTCCACACATCGATTCCTTTATTATAGCACGTGTGTGTTTTTCATAATTTGTTCTATTACATTTTTTGTGTAGCAATGATGCGTTTCTTGTATTATAATTATGGATATCTTTGTTAATCAAAAAATAATTATTAAAAATTTGTTAGTAATATTGCGTATAATTTGAACATATACAAGCTCGCTTGACTTTCAAAGCTCATAAATCACAATAATGTTGCCATTGACTAAAACTATCGTTATGAATTAGTATATATATTTTTACACTGAATCCAATGGTGGTATTTTCATCGACACAGCGTTTATTGAATCGAAGATATATGAACGAAACATCCATATAGGCGGTGTACGTTCTACGCGCAATGATACCTGCTGAGAAAGAGATAACTTATTAACCTATTTCCAGTAAGCTAATCTACACGTTTGGTGAGGATCCAGCTATAAGGCCCTGGTTATATGGAAGGCGGGCTCGCCCGCTAAGCGAGACAGCCTGCATGGTAAGCGAGATCTCGCTGTGTAGTTATTTTTATAGTAAAAATTATCGTGCGTTTATACGGACAAGCGGGCTGGCCCGGTCGGCCGAGATCTCGCTCGAAAGAGGCGAGATCTCGCTTACCGGGATGCAAATTTCTCCATATAAAAAACACTCGCAAGCGGGCTAGCCCGGTTGCCGGGATGAAAGTTCAAAGATACCGCAGCGAGCTATTTTTAACAACAGTCAAAACAATACAATGTAACAAAATTGTCCCGGCAAGCGGGATGAAATTTTATCATATAAACACAAGTGAAATTCATCCCGCTTACCGGGCTGTCTCGCTAAGCGGGCCAGCCCGGCTGCCATATAAACAGGCCCTAAGGAATATGTTTAGCATTAAATTACTGTTCTTAGTTTAGTAAAACGTACGTGAGACGAACTTGACAACATTCACATAATTACGTTTGTTCATTGCCAAATACCCATTTACTCTTGGAATTTTGGTGCAATTTCTAGTGCGATTTTCCTCTTCTGATGCATGTAAACGAGTTATGAATTTTTCTGTGTTGATGTAATGTATTCAGGTGAATATGTTGCTTGTGATGTTACTCTGAGTGTATATCCGCACCGGGCAAGCTTGAAAATGCCTGGCCACGGTGGGAATCGAACCTACGACCTTTGGAATACTAGCCCAATGCTCTGCCAACCATTGAACTATAAATAAACTGGAAGGCTAACTCAGGGGGGGGGGGGAATTGAAGCCAGTGCATTTTAGTTTTTCTGAGTTATGAGCAGAAATACTCAACACTGAACGTTGGGCTATATATCAAATCGAAGCTATTGAAAAACTCTATTTGGTGTAGAAATTGCAAGACTTTAGCTAAAAAGGAAATATTGAAAAACTACAAACATAATTACCGATAATTTGCCGTTTTTGCAGTTGTTTTTGTATTTCTTAAATATTTTTCTTTTCGCTGAAATCTTGAAATTTCCACACCGAATAGCAATTTTCAATAGCTTCAATTTGATATATAGCCCGACGTTTGGGGTCAAGTATTTCTGCTCATAACTCAGAAAAACTATTTTGGCTTCATTAAATCATAAGCCTTCATCGTAGCAGTTAGCCTTCCAGTTTATTTATAGTTCAATGCTGCCAACTGAACTACGCGGTCAGGTCGGTTCGGGTAAGTGATATTTCAGAACTGAGTCTAGTTCCTTCGATATCAAAATAATCTAGTAATCATGATATTTTTCTGTGTTGGTGTAATGTACTCAGGTTAATATGATGCTTGTGATGTTACTCTGAGTGTGTATCCATACCAGGCAAGCTTGAAAATGTCTGTCCACGGTGGGAATCGAACCTACGGTCTTTGAAATACTAGCCCAATGCTCTGCCAACTAAGCTTCGCGGTCATATAATAAAATATCATGATTACTAGATTACACTGATATCGAAGGAACTAGACTCGGTTCCGCGATATCATATACTCGAACCGACCTGACCGCGTAGTTCAGTTGGCAGAGCATTGGGCTAGTATTCCAAAGGTCATAGGTTCGATTCCCACCGTGGCCAGGCATTTTCAAGCTTGCCTGGCGTGGATATATACACTCAGAGTTATCAATGTTCAGATGAGGGTTACATGTTCAGATTAATAACATTCTTAAAAGGGTCAAAACATTAATAACTCGATCATCTACTTATTCACATCCAGCAGGAGTAGAAAATCACACTATAAGTCGCAGCAAGTCTTTCACAATCATTAGAAAAACCAAAACGGAAACTCGCTGCGCACTCTTGCATTGAATTAAGATAAACTGTCGAGCATTGTGATTAGATGAAAGCACTGGCAGCGAGCTTGCGAGTTCACTATTGCGATGCCTGGAAAAGAGGCTCAAATGTGCATGCCTTATTAACGAGTACTGCAGTTTGATCAAAGACCTATTATCTGGGAACCTAATAATTATAACAAGGAGTCCAGAAAATGTCCCGCCGTTCTGTGTGTCATTTTTACAGCCTTATTACTGTAACATAAATTTTAGATTTTTAATATTTTTCTTCTGCCGTCATGACTGAAAAAATTCATATAATGCAAAATTTTACAGACTTTTGACGGCATCTGTCACGTCCGGGCAAAAAGTGGAGAGAAGAAACAGTATTTTCATGCCGGAACACTTCCACTAGGGACACTGTTTAGAGACGTATAAAAACGGATTACTACATATAATTTGCAAAGTAAAATATTCTTGATATGTCAGAGGGTCTAGATGGGGGGGGGCGGAGGGGTCTTTGAATATTTGATGAACAGTATTTTTTCACTCACGCTTCACGGTAAATTTTTTAGTGTTTTCACGACTGACGGTAAGGGAGCAGTCACTATTAATGCCGGAGGGGGTGGGGGGGGGGGGGCTGGAAAATATTTCTAAACTTTTGGTGAATTTTTCGTGGCCCCTCATTCTCTCAAAATATTTTTTCATGACCCCTCCTTTTAGATATAATAAATTTTCATAGCTCTTCCGCCCCCTTCTTCCCACTGTGATTGAACTTGCATTCTAAACATATGCTATAGATGACAGATTCACAGGCGGCCCAATCAGTCTCGCAAGGGTCAGTATTACGAAAGTCACCGAAATGTGGAATCGCTTTCAAAAATTTGTATCGCCACCACTCCCACAAACGTCTACGACCGCACCTACATATTTTTGAATGTTTACAATTCTACTTTTAAACAGCCAATCGACGTTAAGTTGTAATTGTTACCAAGAACCGGATTGGCTGTTCAAAATTAGAATTGTAAACATGTCTCGACACATGTGATTTTTCACCGAGTCCGCGTTAAAAATTCACTGGTAAAAAAAAGATTGGTTTAAACTTCATCTAATCCTCATTTAATACATATTGAAATAATTAGGGTTAGAAATGGTATGTGTTTCAAGCTGTGTGCCGCAAATAAGCGAACAAGATTTTAGGTTTCACACTGATGGAGCTCATGTTGATTTATTCACTTTTAGTGTATTTTGTATAAAATAGTAGGGTACTAAAGTTTTTGGTCTTTTTCTGGGGGGTCATGTGAGTTTTGCTGTTGCCGGAGGGGGTCATGTAGATATTGAGAGGGAGGAGGTGTGGAGTGCCGCCACCCGACTATAATGAACACTCCCTTATTGAATGAGGACAGAAGGCAACCGTTTGGATTTTTTAGGTAAAAAAAGATAAAACTTACTAAAAAGAAAAAAGTGGGATAATTAACAATTATTGGATGAGGTTTTTGTGATATGCAAAATTATCAAGGTCTCGGTAAGCGTTATATTCAATATGATTTCTGGCAAAGCTGTTCAAGTAAAACGTTTCTATAAACAAGTCTCCGGAAGTTCAACAGCTGGATTAATTACAAATATAAAAGAAACATATTATCGTTAAGATGTTAACGTATTAAAATATTTACTTGTTAAAGTAAGCATTAGAATTATGAAATGTACATTCATTTGAAAATTGAAATGTACACTCATTTGAAATGTACACTCATTCAATTTCACGCAACCTACACAAAATTCAGTTATCTGCTAGCAGATAACTGAGTTATCTGCTAGCAGATAACTGAATTTTGTGTAGGTTGCGCGATTTAACTGTAAGCTCTTAGCCAATCAAATTGCTTTTACCAACTACAATGTATAATAATGACAATTAATTGCAGAATTTCGGAGGGGTGTGCCCACCACCCGTACTTTTAATGTAAAAAAATCCCGGTACAAATAGGGTTAAATAAAAATAAAAGGTGATCTATAATATCGCACTGTGAGTGCCAGTTTGCGTAGCTAAGAAACCAAACTACATCATAATACAAACTCGATGTAAAGTCCCTAGCTGGACGTTTATGCATTAGTGAGTGCATAGCGGTCACGTGATGAGACTAATCAGTCACATTGCAGAATATGTTGATATGGAAGTGTATAAGTACATGTTATTTGGAATATAGGACGATAAATATAATGTAAGGTGAGGAAAATAATTTCGAACTGCCATGATTGTTTGTTGAAGTCATCATAGAAAGATAATGCTAAAGAGTCTGATAGGAAAAATGCTCACCAATACGACTGGGATGGACGGCTGTCATTGCTACCAGAAATGGGTCAGAGGAAAACACAGGGATTGCCATTATTAAAAATGTCTGGCAACAAATCAGTTAGCACCATTGCCAATAACAGCAGAACAATACTCACTGAACTTTGCTCTCAAACGTCTTCCACTCTTCCCCATATAAAGCATACCACATCTACTTAGTGAGACACAATTGAAGAACATAGAGGAGGTGCACTTCAAATTGTGCTTGCTATAATTTTTTTGAAATTCCAGATGAGATTTAGGTAGACACTACACATACGTACTGTTAGGTTTCTGTGGTGAGGGGATATATGATATTTGAGGTCCCATGTATATATTTGCTACAGTAGGTCCAAAATAGACTAGGTGATTATCGGAGTAAACGAAGGGGGTTCAGGATCGTTTTAGAAGATATTAAAATTCTTTCTAATAACAACCAATATTCCAAATTGAAGGGATGTTAATTTGGAACTGGGGGAATTTTGTTGTTAGGAACGTTAGAGACAGGGTTTTTAAGGGTCTGCGACTTGGGAGGTGTATACGAAAATCCAGTGTCCAAGAGAGAGGCGGGATACATAGCTACGTTGTACAAAATAGTTTCTCATTCCCAGACTTATTGCTAGAAAGTTCTCATCTCCACTGCAAATGCGGCAAAACATTTATTTCACTGCAGTCACAAATCGATATCCAAAGAAATTACTTATAATAAAACCTTGTAGGGTATAATATCATATACACATTGAAGACATTAATTGATGGGAAAGCCAAAGCTATAATTTCCAGTTCTGTTGAAGATTGCTCTTTAGAGACAAAATTTAAATTATTACCCAGATAAATAACATGAGCAATTTCTTTTTATCATGTTCAAGTGCAAAATTTCAAGACCAAAGAAGAAAGCCCAAGGCAACTTATCATCATACAGTGGTCTATTCTATGAAAACATTCACGCGTACGAAGAAATGAAAATACTGCGAGCATCGCCAATTAAGGTGACTGGGGGAACTACTTCAACGCCTAGAAATGAAGACGTGGAAGCTGGTCAACGGGTAAGTTAATTCGATTATTGGCATATCTTTTATCATTTAGCGATTACACGAATATGGTAGATTCTCCGAGCCAACAATTCCGGGAGAAAGCCATAAAATTCATAATTTTTCAGAACACCCCTAAAAGTTCATTGTACTATTTTGTGCATGAATAACCTGGGAGTCCAAATACATTTTTACATAATAAACAAACAATATTCGAATTGCTTCAGCATTTTCTGGGATTTTTTCGACCTTCGTTAGAAATCTTTGCTACGTCACTGACCTCAACTCTAGGTCGTAAGCGAAATGCAACCTAAAAGGGGAAATAGGCTTTCCATTGTTAGACCAGCGGATATGCACCATAATCATGCACTCCATGAAGACAGTAAGCAACAAATTTCGCGCAGGTAAAGCATGCATTTGTTGCAAAGAAAACATTGAGATATGGGGCATATCAGCTCTGGTCATGGTTGGGAGAAGACAGTAATAACAAGTCATAAGTGATAAACCTTGATATTCGTCAACAATTTGGAATTTCAAGTTTACCAGTATCATTCGAAAGAACACTAAAAACTATATATAGAAATCGAATTAAGTTGCATAGATTTTGGAGTCTAAATGGAGTTTAAGGTGGCTCAATACACTTTTTAGCCAAAGGAGCAAACGTTGAATATTTTCTGTTTAAATGCTTTTACAGGGTTAAGTTTTACTTATAATTCTAACACATAGTAAGAGGACACGCAAACAAGAAGAATTCTGATAAATGTCGCGTTTCCATGACAACTATAACGAATAATGGTAACAATAAATAGGCGAAAATATCGCAGTTTTTCGAGTTTTTTTCAAAAATGAGTTCGGTGACCCCGATTTATTAATAAGTCAGTTACGTTAGTGTCGAGAAACATTTCTGGGAAGTTTAAAAAAAATCTGTCGACTCAATTCTTTAGAATTAAATTCGACTTTTTTGACAGTTTCTGTCGACATTTTTTTTATTTTTCCATCATGAAATCTTGAAGTATGTATCTACTCATGTACAAATTTTTAGGGTACCTTACCAAACTCGTTTTGGAAATAATCACGGTTTTATTTCGCGCGGCCAAAGTTTTTCACACTCTGCGAGATCAATGAATTGACATGCGCGTACATGTTTTCGCAGGCGCATCTCCAGAAAAACACGCACAAAAAAGTTTTTGGTCTCGTCGAAATATCAAATATATGTTGTGTTTTCTTGCTTAGAAATACAAATATATTTAGTTTTGAATGCTAACTCGGAATAACGCCACTAAGAAAACAGGTGATTGTCGGTCGTTTGGTATAAGATATGTGTGACGTGTATGAACTTTTTGGCTTTTCTACATAGTTTTATATTCGTTTTCAGTCGTAACTTGTGTGTTTCCATGTTGTTATTGACAAGTTAAAACAGTTTGAGCCGGTGCATGATGCTGTTTCGCTGAATTCCTTTGCTGTTAGTAACACTTTGAATACATTTACCAGTTGTAAGTACAAAAAAACTCTGGATATGAACTTATAAATCGCCAAATATTGGAGTAAAAACTTTTCGCCGGTCGCGCCGATCGCCGGTTTTCACAAGAGTTTGAACGTTGAACATTGCATTTTTTACCTTAAAATGTCTTCTAAAAAGACTAGTTATTCAATGTTCAGAGCTAAATCAGGACGAAGTTTGTTCTTTGAGAACAAATGAGAACAAGGAAGACGGTGGTTCGCATTTTAGACTGATTTAAAGTTGTATAATTTATTTTTGCATATATTTTTAACATTTTCGCGCAAAAACTCAAGATTAGGTACCAGTCCTCCAATGATGAAAAGTGTATGTAGCCACCTTAAATGTTACTTATATTAACAGTGTTGTAACGAGTCGAGTCATTGACTCGGACTCGAGTCGACTCCAGTCGCTATTTTCAGATACTCGAGTCAACAGCCCCAAATGACTCGACTCGACTTGCTGATTTTGCCGTGAATGACTCGAGTCATTAATTCAGCTACAACTTGTACTGACAGAATAAATTCATTAAAATTATTGTGGTTGTATTGCCTGGGAAGATCAGTGAGCCCTGTGAAGTTGTAAACAATGAGAACTTCGAAATTTTATCAGAAAATATACGGGGCTTTGTATAGAATATATTCCTGACGGGCATGCCAATAGTACATTTCTGTTTTTGGAAACAACGCTAGTGCCTAATGCCACAGTTTTTTAAATGGAGTCTCAAAATTTTTTGTACTAATTCTGACCGGCTCTTGTCATTTTTGGTATTTATGAAGTGCTATATATTAATTTCAAATTGACTTACAAAGCATGATTAATTAAAAGTCTATTCTTTGTTAATTCTGACTCCAGTTGCAAGTTATGCTAGTTGTATATACGTACACTCGATCACCAGGCATGATGAGACATCTAATGTGGTCGTACTTAATATTGACTAGGACTGTGATATTGGTACAGCCTAGCTGCCCAGATACTGTTATTAAACGGCTAAAGTGATTAGCTTAAAAGGGTAAATTTGATTACTAATTTCAGACTCCAAGCTAGGATATCGAACAATTACAGAAAGCGTGGGGTGGACTTACTATTGACTCGACTCGACTTAAACCAGTGACTCGAATTGACTCGAGTGAATCCGCTGACTCGACTCGAGTGAAGCCGCCGACTCGACTTGATCAGAAACTGAAATGACTCGACTCGTCACTCGACCTTTGAGTGACTCGACTCGTCACTCGACCTGTGGGTGATTCGTTACAACACTGCTTATTAAAGTAAAACCAGCGAGAAAACAGTATATTGTGGTATTTTGTAGCAATTTCCTTACATTTATCTTTAATTTTTGGCTTTGAAATCGTACTACTCACTTGTTTTATTCCGCCCGGCTATTTATCCCCGGGGAAAGGAAAGCATTAAAGAAGTCTAAAGTCCATCAATAATCGCGGGTCGGTCATCCTCACTGATTTCAAAATGTCATGAATAGACTGTCATGAATAGCCAAGACTGATTGGTCCAATTTTGTATTATAACGACTGCATGACGACAGCGAAATAGCAAGCATTTCTTGTAATTCTTGATTTGATGATTTCTTGCAAATATATTTTATTTTTGCAAGATTTTCTGATTTCAAAATCTTTCTAAGAAAATAAAGGCGAATGAAATGCTAAAAGAAAGGAGCAAAGGCGCCGACGTTTTGGGCGGGAAAATGGGATTTTAACGCGCTAACCCGGATAGCCGGGCTGAAGTAGCTCATTAAGATTTGTAATGCTTAACAATTTAATACTCGGTGTTAGAAATCGATTAAAAATGGTGTATTTGTTGTATTTGAGGACTATTTTACCCACTGAATGTTGTTGGTTAAGGTATTTATACTTAGCGCTGATCCCAACAGGTTTATACTGTTTGTATTCTAACAAAATTGTGTCGCTTCCTATCTAAACCTTGAAAACGTTCATTAATATCATTTTGATGTTATTGGAAGTTTTTTTAAACTTATATTTGTACATATAGTCGAAATTAAAACATGCATAAGTGTGCTTTTCAACAAGGCGGGACAACTCGCTTTGCATGTAATCGAAATGTCAAAATAATAGACAATACATATAGGAAGCGGGTCAACTCGGCAAAGCGAGTCAAGTCGCTTAGCCGGGACAATTCACCCATGTAATCGGCCCCTAAATTTCCTGTACTATTATCCTGAAATGACGTCACTTGGGCGAGTATTCCTAACTAAGTCGGGATCATGCTAACGGCATGGATTTGAGTCCGGTCTAAAATAATAATTGCGATTAGAATCGTATTGAACTAATGAACTTAATACTTTGCAGAAATTGGACCAAAATCCCGTCGCGGATTAAAAGTAAACTGAAACTACTTTTGCTTTCTTTCCAGATGGAAAATATATACCCAATCACGTCTTCAATTTATGCCAAAGGTGATGGTTTGGTGAATGAAACAACTTCGAAAGTTAGAAGGGATACTGGTGCGCTACGTCACTATAATGGTCGTTGGTCTTGACGCCGAGAGACGTAGTACAACTGTAATAATTACAATAAACATTGCACAATGCACTTCGTATTTTCTATTTCTTTATTATTTATAATCGTGAGGCACGGCTGCATGAGAGATTTTAAGCCAACTGCTGGGAAGCAAATTAGTTTACTATATAGTTATATCAGTATTGGTGGTCGTTATCGAAGTTATACTCGACGTACAGAAAAACTAAAGGCTACAGTCCCTTAAATTAACGTGCATTGAGAAACACGCAAGAATAAAAGTTATTCTCGCTTATAGTGACCTGTGAGGACTTTCTTCGAAGGATTGTAGATACCAGGAAATGGGATTTATAATTATAAAATATTTCGTATTCAACGAGGTTCAATATACCTTTAAACTTTAAACTTTAATCCAGCCTGCTTTCAAGTTCACAGTTCTTAAGTGAGAGAAACTACAGCCTGGGTAAATAGCCTCTGATCTCAAAACTAACACTGGATGGTGGATCCACTTAGCATGAATGAAGTCAATGGCGGTCATATTGTTGCGACCACCACAAATCCACATTGCTGGTGGTGACATAATACAAGAGGTTCTTTTAATTTCTGATTATCGATAGGAAAGGATAAATATTGTCTGAAAATAATTCAATCTATCAACAGTGAAGTCTCTTCCCCCTAAAATTTGGGCATGAATAACTAATGAGGTCAAACAAAGAAGGCTGCCACAATTCTGTTCTGCAACAGGTGGGAAATTTGTCTGAGCATGCGCGAGTAAAATGAGTCACGCAATTGTGTGGAATACACGCAACGCGTGTTTACAAAAAAGCACAATCGTGTAAATATTGCAAAATGTTTGAACAAAATAAATGACTGTTTTATGTTGAAAGAGTGGGCATGATACAAATTAATCATACAGAACTTTTTAGTGACGTTCTATTTTAGTACCCTGCCATTGTCTCTGGTCTGTCCGTGTGCATTCGATCTGAAACAGTTGCTACTTTGCTGTCGAAGAATTTCGAATGTTTACATGAAAATAGAGGCAAGTCATGCATTTTACAACCTCTTAAACTGTATGAGCCCCTATTTTTACGCTTATACCCAAGATATCAAATAAAAGTACATGAAACAGAGAACATTTGTAGAAAGTTTTATCTTGAGGCCACGGCCAGTTTTTAAAATATCTTTATTTCTGTTCCGGTCATCACCAAAATTACACAAAAGCCGGGCTTGAATATACAACAAATTTTGAATCGCATCAAGCACAAAAATACTTAACGTGTAACCAAAATATGCTCATGAAATCGAAATTAATAGCTAAATTTTCAAACCAGACCCTTCACGAGCCGGTTTTCATAAAGGAAGTTCACATTTCGGCCTTTGATTCTTGGCAAAAATTTGACCACAACACGTGCGAAGCAACTGGGTCTCAAAGACTCAGCTAAAACATTGTGAGCCCCTATTTTCCTGATGATATGTTTGATACCTACAAGCGCCGAAAAGTTTTTTCATTTCATTTTGCTATATTTGAAATTGAGGCCACGGGCTATTTTTGAGAAAATACAGCTCAAAGTCAGCTGAAGCTATTTTACATATTTTCAAAATTTGTCAAATTTCGCGAGCTTGTATTTTGAACTTAGACAGCTGAAGTTACATT